ACAGGTTCAATTTGCCTTTTAGAGGAGGATATAAAATTTTCTAGCCCAGAGACTTTATGAAGCTTATAACAATAGCAGGGAGATCCAGTGTTCAAAATATCTCTTCCTCAAGTTGTGAATTGCTTTCAGTAGGTTGCAGTCATTCAGAATTTCCCACTCTGTTACATCCCATTTTTGGCACTTGTCACAGTCAATTCCCTGCCTTATCATGACTTTTCACTTGTTCATCCCCAGACTTGGTATGTACAATCTACACCTTTTTGGATATGTTTCATACACCAGACTGTAGTTCTCAAAATGTTTGGTTCTTGCGTTACAGGACTAACTTTGTCCAAAAAATGATGGGACATTCTTTTTGCCCAGTCAGTGTACCCTCGTTGAATGTTGTTCTTGTTCCCCCTTTTTATTATTTCTTACGAAGGAACTGACTGCATCGCCTGGCGCGCCTCTTCATTTCTTCCATTCTGTGTACATGCTTTCTTGTTTCATTCGCTGTTGATACGTTGAAAATTGAATTCTTTTTTTTTTGTCGTAATATCGGCGACTCGGAATTGCTGTTCATATATGCGCTTGAATCGGTCCATTACATAAAATTGGGGATAAGTATATATGTTGCAGACACATCGGAGGGCCTCACAACGAGAAGATGTATGATGATAATCAGTGGCAGATTTACAGACTTACGAGGAAAGTTGCGGTTGGGATGCGTAAGTTAGAAAGAAATTTCCATCTAACTAATTGTAGGCTGCTTAAATGACCCATACCGATTCCGCTACGTCGTGGTAATCAGAATGAATCAAGTCGGAATAAACCCTCCTGGCATGTCGAAGTGAGGTGCTTGAGCCTCCTCCAGCTGGGGCAGCGAAAATAATCATTGATCAAGCGTCAAGAAAAAAAGACAACCCATGATGGGCGGAAGGTTCGGGAGAAGCTCAGGACGGCTTTAATTATGAACTGCGAACCCTTCAATAATGGATACCTTCCCCTTCCCGTAAGAATCTGAATCCGTCGATTTTTATCAGGCGCGGTAAGTAGTGATTGATGAGCGTGAACTTGCCGTTCCAAGTCCTAAGCGATGGGGTCATTGCATGCAGTCTTTCAGAATTTGGACGGGGATCGTACCGGTACTATGACACCAACGCAAGAGCAACTTGAAGCGCGATGCGAAGGCGGCTCAGCAGTGAGTACTTGAGTACTGGTGAGCGCCTACATTCAACAGCTTATTGCGTCCAGAAGGTTGGAGTGAAAAGCCGGTGAAACGGCACGATGTCAAATGAGGCCTGATGTTTGTAGAATTCCGAATCTGTACCTGGTAATTATTTAAAATTGCCGGGATGATGAATCAGAAAAGAGTCAATTTGGAACTTCCGTTGGATGTAGAGCGAAACGTACAGAGTCCCGAAATCATATTACGATTGTGACTGAGCGTAGAGAGTCAGGAAAGAGAAATAACGGAAGAGACACCTCAATTGCCGAGTGGTGTTTGAGATCCTCCGCGGGGAAAGGCCAAAAGATTAAGGTGGGAGATAGCGGCATCATCTAAAACTGCCAACATATTCTGTAGCATTTATCCCTCCGCACGCCTCTCATCGGAGTCAACGCTGGAATTCTCAACCTTTCAGTGGTGTATCCATCGCAATGAAACACGGTAATCTGACGGTGGAAGCTATATACATATAATGAAAAAATGCTCGTCCGTAAGACTTTGAAATCGGTTGGATAAAAGTACATGCCTACCATGCCGTAAGTACGTCCATTCATAGCGTTGAGCATTCAATGAGCATTCACGACGTAGATTCGGAAAACAAATCAATTCGAAGACGGCTGATTGTGGACAGAAGGACAAGGAAAGACTATTTCCTCAAATCTAGACGTCTTTTGATTGAAAGTACAGCCAAATTAATGTTCTGGTCATCGATAGAAAAAAGTATGTACCGTAGCACCCAAATCCATCCGGAATGGCCTGGCAGCATCGCCAGCATTGGTCGGGAGTACCAAGGTTGGAAGGCGTCGCAGTGTATCCATGGGGGCAGAACAGGATTAGAGAGTCGCAGGCATTGCTGCAGACTTCCTTGATGGCTGTTGCAGAAGCCGCGGTGTAGAGGGTTGCGATGAGCCCGATGGCGATTGAGAAGAGTTCCATGATTGCGTTTACTGATTGAGGTCTGACCATGAGTGGAGAATCAAAGGTGGGATGTCAAGGGACGTACTGAGGGATAGTATAGGCTACAGATGAGTACAAGATGAGTACCACAGAAGAAGAGGGTTTTTATACTGATCTTATCCGGGATTGTCGGGCGATGAAAATCTGGGATGATATGTTTACCTTTCCGAAGAATGAACACGTTACGGAAAGATACTTACCTGTGTATTTTTCGATAAGTGTACATGGGAGCTGCCAAGTTGTTTATCGGGAGCGGGCGCCATGACACAAACGCCTTTTGGTTGGCGTTAGCTTTATTGAACGGAGAGGTGGTCCCTCACAATTCTTGATGAGAAAACTGATATTCTGGGACACTGAGGTCGAATGGGATGAATGAGGAATCAATCCGTTCGTGTACAGACAAAGAGGGCTCAGGCCATCGCGATGGCTACTCCTTCAGTCGGACGATCAATCGGTGATGCCAAAGAGTCTCTAGAACATAGACGGGAAGCGGTATTCAGTAAACATGGTGAGATGAAAACGATTTAAAGCCACACCGTCCTTGGATATTCAAAAAATTCAGAGAAAGGTTAAAATTTGACCTAGTTGAGCTGAGGCGAGTCAGTTTGATGGTAGCTGTCTACTATCTCTCATCTCGGAAAGAAAGGTAGACGGCCACCAGCGGAATACATATTTTGGAAGAGGGCATGATTGTAAGGCGCAGTCTGGCTCGAGTCTGGAGGAGTGATGGTAAGAGCAAAACCGCATCCGGCTAAACCCGAGCGTTGTTCATCTGTCTCTGGGCGTCGCTCCTGACAGCGACAACACCATTGAGCTGTTTCGAAGTCAGCAACTGTTCACTTGTCATCATTCACATGCGCAACTCAACTGGCTTCTAACCGATGTCGCAAGGCCACTCAGCTTCTCTGAGTTGCGTACCGAAGATTTGGCATTGGTGTTCTGGGATCAATCTGGGATATCCGATAGCCCTCTTCAGACTCGAGGATGTTCACGAATCTCGTCGTCAAAGTATGAGGTATTTACCGCCTTTTCTTGCCTTTTCGGTCTCATCACCACCTCAGTCCTACCCCCGTTGACTGATAAATGCATCGTGAACGTCGCATCCTTCAAAGCGTTCCAACATTTCACAATTTTGCACGCACGGAGAAAGGTATCGTCAACTCTCGTCTTCCCACATGGGGTAATGGTCGACGTGAGGAGACAATGGCACAAAAGGGCCTACGTCAATTTCTTGGACACTGGGATCATGTTGAGGTGTGCGGGTACAAGTCGTACGTTTCAACACAGCGCTCCATTTTCACGCTTGGAGAGGTTGACATCAAGTGCAGCGTCAACATCCGAGGCCAGCCCTTTGTTCAACGACAGCCACAGATCCTCTCGAGTACGTCTGTGGTGTTGTTGTGCGTCTCCTAAACGGCGAAATATCATCTCCCCTCATGCGATAAGCGCAACATCGTGGGTAACTCCATATATTACGCAAAGAAAGCACTTGGAGCTCTGCTCTCGAGGTGAGTGTCCCTCGGGAACCTCCATTCTATCTTTCGGACTTCATTATAGTGGCCAACGTCACGCTCATACTTTTGCGTTATTTCACCTGTTCCACGTTGGTTTCACATACCTCGCGCGCTGCTACTCAATCCTTCTTCACATCCCATTTTTCCGCATGCCCGATTTATATTCACCCCGGAGATCGTTTGAGCGGCGATGTGCTCTCTGCGTTCACCTCTTCTGTTCTATTTTACTCGCTGGACTTTACAGGTTCATCACCATTACAAACCCGCCAACAGACCTCCACAACTTGTCCACAACACCATCGCCTGGCCGTCGTCAATACCCACCTATACGCGTAGGATTTCAGTCAAATCCCGATCTCAGATATACGTTGACCCTCATCCCCAGCCCAAAATTCTCCATCTTCGTCAGTTCTTCATCTTCAAAGCATCTCAAGCTCTATATGCACCTTCCCCGAAAGTGGGTCACTCCATTGACGAGAGGTGGAAAGTACCAGGTGACTGCTAAATTAGGTGTCGTAATGATGTTACATTGACTCTGAGATGGGGACGTGAAGGATCCCAACTTGGGCACGGGAAAATTGCGGCTTCCGTAGATGTTACATGTCCATGCATTCTCGACCTCGTAAATCTGAGAGCGCTCAAGAAATGGACGTCACGCATTAATGTTCAAAGTATGAAGTTAAAGTATCATCGTTCAACCGCCGTATTAATAACACCTCATTGGATCTTGCAGCGTCAAATACTACGGACCTACGGTATACTTGACTCCATTCACGGTTGAGAGTCCATGTTAACATCTATGAGCATCGACAGCAAACCAAGACCCCAAGGGCAAACACTAGATTACGGCTTCCGACCCAAGACAGAAGTCGACGATGATAGATCCTTATTACAGTAGCACAGGTTCTTTGATTCGGAGACACAGCATTGTGAGTTCGCTTTAGTTTTGCTTACAATTCTAGTATATACGGGCTTGATAGTCGACTGTTGTGTGACTTGTGTCCACCCTCTGTCGTCCTCCACTGCCGTGTTTTTTGAGGCTTAACCAAGATGATGATATATAACGTTAAGCGTCATAAGTGCAGAACTCCATTTCTTTTATTTGCCCATTCTGGATCTGCCGTTTGAGATCAGGGGATATGAAAGCCTGATAAAATTGGAAACATACCCAGTCACGGAGCAACCCGAGGACCAAAGTCAATCCTCGTAGGTCAGATTCCAGACGAATTTGCGACAGCCAAGACACGACTCCACCGGAACCACTAGTATTCTGGTTATACACAAAGAAAAGCCACTCTTCGCCGGTTGTTATACAACCTCGAAAAGTCTGGAACCTACGACGGAATTCAGTACCAGTTTCGTTGAAAGAAATTCGACAAATACCCGAATCGTTGGGCTTGCGCGACTGCCGCTATCACAGCTTGGGGTAGGGCTTTGAGAACATTGTCGGGCTTCGCTTCATAGATATTGCAAGACAGGGATTTGTAGATATCGTTATCTGTAAACGCAAGCTTCGTTGATCGAACAAGAAGATCTGAAAGAGCATCAGGAGTGGAAGTGTTCTTGCATAAAAAATGCAGACCTATAGCCCACTGCTCCCCGAAGGCCATCAGGTAATCAACCGCCCCACCGTAAGATGATGCGCCTGGCTCTAATGACGTTTCAGGAATGCGAAACTCAGGTACTATGGCGGCACCAAGAGCGGAAGTGCGGAGGTTTGAAACCACATGTGTTAAAATTGCGTTGATCAGGAAACGACAGCCAGCTTCAGTCTAAAACGCAGAATGAAAGCCTTCCCAACAAAAGCAAAGGACGAAAACTGACCTCAAAGGATACATATTTTCGAATTTGTGCAATGATTCGCCTAGTTTCCTCCAGGGACAATGCTACTCCCAACTTGCCACCGAGTTTCCGGACTTCTTCCTCCTTTGCACTGATGAGCTTCAACGAATGCAACTTGATATTCGCGTTTGTGAGGGAGAGTATGTCGGCGTCCGAAGATGGGTTATGCTGGAAGTTACTTTAGTGGTCAACATGATGTCTTAGTGAGAACGAGCCTTACCCTCACCCCCTTCAACTTGCGGACAACCTTCTGCACGGCATCGACAACCTCCTGCCTATCTTCATCTTCTTCGTCGATCTCATCCTGAAACCTCTGCAAGATATCGACCACGGTGGAAGTTTCTTCGTGACTGAGGTCTGGAGGGTGGGAGGGTTCTGGTGACATGCTAACAGAAACCCCAGTAGCGCGTGAAGGGTGTGAGGGTTCTGGTGACATGCTAACAGAAACCCCAGTAGCGCGTGAAGGGTGTGAGGGTTCTGGTGATGCGATAATGGAAATCCCAGCAGCCGATGGGAAAAGTTCATATCTGGTGGAGAAATCGTCTTGGGACATAGAATGTTTCTTGCAAAGATGCCCCTCAACTTTCCTCCAGGAGACTGCTGAATAGTCACACTTGAAAATGCATGATATCTCCTGATTTATTGCCGGCCTGACCGATCGACCGATCTCAGTGCCAGCACCTGCTTCTAAAATAAATGAAAAAAAGCTGATTGTTTGGAGATGGGGCCTCTGGTTGGAATGCTCACTTTTTGAATTTATAACAACTATTGCAGTTTGACAGTGATTGTGTTTGATATGCATCCTGAGGCCACCTTTTCCTGGTTCAATCGTGTAGGGGCAAGCTAAACAACTTGCCCTGCCTACTGGGTCAGATAAGGGCTCAATGATTATGGGTGGACACATACGCCACAGGTGAATAGTGATTCCGAGGCCTGGTGGTTGTTACCTTAGGCATAAACCACGAAAACAAACCTAGAATTACAGTTATTGAAAGGGTGGTTGAAGTCGCAAATGTTGTGACCTTTCTGGGTAAGCCGAAACAAAAAAAAACACTGTTGGTTGGGGTCGGAGATGTGGTTGAAGTCAGAGATGTTGTGACGATGTAGACTGTTGGTGTCACGTTACGCTTCCTTCATATCAACCACCACAACCACCACTTTTCTGACATCTATCGTCTACTATCATGGCCTCTCTCGCAAGTCTTTTTCCTGTTTATTCTGTACGCCACCACCAACGAGTAATACAGCCACAATTCGTGCCCACTCTCCTCCAGCCGTCGATTTACGCCATATGACATCCAACCTCGGCTCACATACAAACCCCCTCAACGCGGCCTACGCACGAACGAACCATGACTCGGATCACGTTCGCCCGACTCAATCCCTTCATCGCCTATTTCAGTGTACGTGTCTTCTCTTGCCTTCATGTGTACCCCGATTTGACACGATGACCTAAGACGCTCGTCTTCATCGACAATTTGGACATTTTGAACTTCGCGTCATGCCCTCTAGATCTCCACCCACACTTCCCCATCACCCGCCCAACCCCCACAGAGTATCCCGCGCAAAGTCGACCGAACAATAGGAGCAGTCCGTAACCCCGTTCCCTCCGTTCTGGACGACTCGCATGCAGGGACCCTGCCTCTCGGTTCATAACTTCCTTTTGAGCCCACATGCATCGCCTACCACTGTCCCCGTCGTCGTCCCACATTCACCCAACCAGCGATCAGGCCTACGATCCAGACATAGATGGATACGGCGATGGCGACGGTGGCTCCAACCCCTTCCCTCATCACATCCACTGCGCATTCCTCGACTACGTCGTTGATGGGTAGCCGTCTTCCCCTACTATGACGACGGGGCAAGAACACCTGCTTGCGTCGCTTCCAGAGCCAAACGCACCCTTCCAACATACCACCCTTCTTCCAACACGAATAGGCCTAATGCGGGGTTCTCTCCTTTTTTAAATACCGACTTCTCATCCCCTGTCTCCGACCCACGCAGCTAAGAAACTGCTTTCGTTCATGTCGTATTCGGATTTACTCTCCTTCACTCCGACGTCTACTCTCCCCTTTCATCGCTTACTACCTCAGTGTCGACTTCGGAGCCGCCCACGCATATACCTGGCATTAGTGGGATGGGCATCATTTCTGGGGGTGGACTGACGAGTGAGCAGTCGAGTATAAGGGGTGGGGTGACGCATCCTGGAAAGAGGGATAGTATTGCGTTGTTGGATAAGGTTGGTGGGGAGTGGGAGAGGCAGGGGATTGGCATGGGGTTGGAAGAGAGGTTGGATGCCGTTCTGGGGAAGGCGTAGGGTGAAAGCGTCGAACTTCGTATGTTACCCTTTTCGATTTTTTATGCTTATCCTCGTTGTCGGACTTTCCGCCATTTATGTTTCACTTCAACACTAATTTCGTTCTTTTATCCCGACTACCACTATGAATCATTTACTTACAATGCGTAAAATCGTCGTCGTTGTACAATCTTTTCTTCTTTCGGTATTTTGTATGTTACCCCGAGGTGTTGTCCTCCAATCTCATGCTGTCGGATTGACTGTTTTCTGCTGCTGGGACATGAGCAGTGCTGTCTGAGAATGGTGTTCTGGGATAGCCCTCTTCAGACTCAAGGATGTTCACGAATCTCGTGGTCAAAGTATGAAGTATTTACCGCCTTTTCTTGCCTTTTTGTCTCATCACCACTTCAGTCCTAGCCCCGTGGACTGATAAATACATCGTGAACGTCGAATCCTTCAAAGCTTTCCATCATTTCACATTTTTGCACGCACGGAAAACAATATCGTCAATTCAAGTTCTCCTCTTCCCACATGGCATTATGGTCGACGTGAGAAGACAATGGCACAAGGGCGCCCACGTCAAGTTCTTGGACAGCGTGAAACTGGGATCATATTGAGGTGTGTCGGTACAAGTCGTACGTTCCAACACAGCGCTCCATTTTTGCGCTTGGAAAGGCTGACATCAAGTGCAGTGTCAACATTTGACGCCAGCCCTTTGTTCAACGACGGCTACAGACACTCTCAAGTACGTTCTCCATATTGCTGAGAGACGACGGCATGGAAAAAAATAAAGACAGGGTTATTATATTTGCAACAGATATTCAAATCAACTGCAGGTCGGTGGAAAATTTAAACGTTACTTGCATGTTGCTAGACAGCCACGGAAAGTACTTCCTCGGAATCTCGTTTACCTGGTTCTGTAAGGAGGATTCAGGATAGGTCGATGAGAAAACACAGATTGTGATGTCGAGGGAAACGATGCGGAGCTTGGGGAAACCACGCGAGAGTACAGCATCCAATCCTCCCCATTCACTTCCGGTTTTACACACACAGTCGGTTTGAACCACAACGTCCAGGAATATTTCTTCAATCACGTTGCGCCCCGAAATAATGCTAAATTCCTCGCAGATTCCGCACAAGGGGTCTTGAATGTCATCTTCGATGTCATGCTGAAGGCGCAATGTCCTCAACGTTGAGAGAGATGACGCGTTCATCGATGCGGCGAAAGCTGTGTATCCCCGGGGCATTTCAGCTAAAACCGTGAGTGAGATATGGTATATATGTAGTAGGGTTCCCCGCACGTACTTGTGTATTCTAGAGTTTCAAGCTTCTCTGTAACCCTGATGAATGCCTGGATTGCCACCAAATCTCGCACTTTATCCGCCTCGACACTCAACGATCGAACATTACGAAAGTCGAGCACGCGGACACCATTGGGACGTCTTGCGTTCAGAAGGTGCATTGCGTATGGACCACTACCCAAATAGAAAGCGAATGACCGAAGCTGTGGGGCAGCTTCCAGTGCAGGCAGAGAGTCCTTTTCAAAGCTCACCGCCGTAGAAGGACTTGTGAGGCGGGCCAAGGTGAGGTCTGTTAGATTCATGCAAGGAAAGAATGCGGTGATTGGGAAATCACAGATGATAATATATGCAAGCGGGACAGAGAGGGCAATTGGATTAGACAGTGCAATAAGACGTCTCGAAGGGGTTGGCGTAATGCATTCCACTGTATTATGGTAGGGTCACCAATTCCGAGCTTGAAAGATTGAAGATGATGAAGCTTTCCCAGTACCCGGAGCACATCATCATCTTCAAGGTCAGGCGAACACATGTGGAATACGAAATTCCGAACCAAATCTGAAATTCCAGGATTGTTTCCAAGAAGAACTCCGAATAATTTGATGAGGCGTGGATGGCTTCTCTGTGGGTAGGAAGGAGCTCGCATTACGAACTTCTTCATAATATGTCAGCATGCGTCTGTTGAATCCAACAAAAATGAGGACAAGATTCACGGAGAGTACAGAAACTTCGGGATGCCAGAAAACAGACAACCTTGGCACTCACAGATACTCGTGCCATTCTGCTCATGTGGGATTATAATCGAGGTCTGGGTCAAGTTGAATTGCACCTGGGAAGAATTTCACAAATGTGCAGCTTTCGTAGGCCAGACCTGTGTTTACGGTTCTTAAGGCGATATTCTTTGCCAACCTTTGATGTAGTCTGACTTTTACTCCGCAAAAATGTAAGTTCAGGCTCACTCCCCTGCACCACCTCAGAAATGGTGCCGTAAATCAATTCTTAATACTTTCAGCTACTCAACGACCAGCCTTCACAATTTTCCCAATGAAACTGGGCTAGATAACCTGTGAATAAGAGAATTTCACTCCACCTAATTTGTAGCAGGACCGCAAAATTCTTTCTACAGATGCTGGCTTCGACAAACTACCCTTGAACCTTCTAGTTCCCTTGCAGATAACGGCTTCCTGCCCAAAAAGAACTTTCCCTTGGGCTGGCTGGCCAAAGAAAACTGGAGGAGGAGTAAGTAAATTGGAGGAGGAGTAAGTATAGTGATAAAACATAAAAATCTTTGAGCACATCGTCTGATTTTCAACTTGAGAGTTCGCTTTTGAATACGAAGTACATCGCCATACTTCAACATGGCTATATAACACGACTTGAATTTTATTTTACAAACGAATGGCGCATTTCCGCCCATGCGGTTTGTGATTGCATGAAGACGTTGTTACTCGACAAAACCTCGCGTCTACAAATTGGCACCAAGTTCGAGATGGTTACTATTATGTTTCAGATGTTTCAAGATGTCGCCATATCTCTATAAATAGAATTTTGGTGATATCCTTTGATGGCAAGTCACTAAAAAACAAATGAAATACCTCTCTTTTTTGACAGACAACTGTCAACGGGCTTCATTTTCCTGTTAACTTAATATATTGATATGAAAAAATACCAGACATGCGAGGAAGGGAATGAAGTGGGTGTGGGTCCAAGGTCTACCGACGATGGGAAGTTTAAACTATGAGAAAATTCCAGATACTGCGAGCGCAAGGTGTTCTTGCAGGGAGACGCACCCGTTGCCAGGCAAGGCCTCTCCCTATGACCTGTTATAGAATTCTCATGGAACCCTTGACTACTGCCCACCGATGTTTTTGTTTTTAGAGATTGACCAAGAAGGGGGGTATTAGTATTGGAATCATGGATAAATTACCACTGTTAGACCTCCAGATTTTGCCCCATTGCAGGTATGTATCTATTCTTGGCAAAGATACCCAAGTTTTTGGGATGAATGCCTACAAATCGAGCAGGAGGCATAGCTACTGGCGCTGGGCAACGAGCGACGAGCGCCACGGCCGCTGATCGCGCCGCTTACGGTCTGTCACCCTGACACTCAGGTTATTTTTAGACATCAAAGGAAGCGATCACTGAATCAATTTGGATTTGACGTGTAGTGATAGAGCGGGAATGACCCCCAGAGGCCAATTCCTACCAGACAAAGAATTGGCCTCTGAGGCCTTCTGTCACTCAGAAGCGTCAGGCCTGAGGTGTGAATTCCCAGTATCCGTCCGAAGCCAAACGCCAGTAATGGGTGTGTCTTGGCACGTGGTGCCTTCGACCAACGGACAGGAGCAGGAGAGCTAAGTAAGTTCTAACGTTACACAGTACCACAAACTGAAAACACCTATTAATAGGATAAAGGACCCGATGGAAAATAACTGCCGAAAGGTGACAACATTTGGAAGGGTTCTCGCACCCAGCACCCTATTTTTGGGCTTTACACTTCTTACGATGTCGATTCAAAGAAGATCTCGTCCCAAAGCTACTCCCACAGCCATTGGCACCCGTGCAATGGTGAGTTTTCCTCAGGAAGTGCGAATTGATATGATCTAATCAAAAGGACAATTAGATTCGAATCTCATCACGAAAGAAAACGGATGCTTTAGGACTGACTCTTCAAATTGTGTTTGGCAGTAAAATCTTGACGACACAAATTACAAGCAAACCGGCCAGGGGCCGCATTTGCCCTGCGTCTGTTTGTGGCGGATAGTTGTTCTGGAGACGCCACCACTGCACGGGGTGGTAATTCGCTACCAACTTCGGGAACCCAGGGACTCATGGGCGGCATCCGAAATGCGTCAGAGGCTTGCAAAAATATGGTGAGGCTATCACGGACACGGTTTTGTAGAGCAATTTCGTACCTGGTAAAACTGGTTGAGGTGGTTCCACAGGTCCGACATTGGGAAGGATGGGGTTAGTAGGCGACATGCTTGCCTGCCCTCCCACTGCATCAAGAGACGTGACAATATCGCCCTCCAGAAAGACTGTGATGGGTGATGGTAATTCGACCAATAAGACAAGTAGAACTACTGCGTACCCGGCGGTTGCGACATTAGAGAATAGTTGCATGAGCATGCTAAAGAAAAGAAACAATGCTCGCAAAATGTCCCTGATGCCATGTTGGCACTGAGGATATGGGGGTCCCGAGTTTATGGGAGTCCTGAGTTTACGGGAGTCCTTTGCTTTATACCTTTAAACACCGCACATCTTTGTGGTGGAACCAGCTCTTAATACCCACCGACCTTGCGACAGACTTGACGCCCGCTGGTTGCGGAATTTACACCGATTTGGAGATCTTGAATGAAGGGTTAGCCTGGGGTGGCGCCGACCGCGCTACTTTTGTTTAGCGGCGACATGGGTGGCATTAGTAAGAGCCGATGAAGAGTCGTGCACCACTCCACGTGTCCATGTCACCTGTACCTTGGCGGTGGTACAATAATAAGGAAGGTCCAGCAGAGTGCTGCGCAGTCCTGTTCCCATTCGTAAGCTACGCCTAGCGCCGGACTGGGAGCTTAACAGCAAATGTACAAGTGTATTTGATTCACTTACCGCATGTTGACTGGTATCAGTGGTGCCGTAACTTGCGAGAATCTTATCTCTCCCAAGCTTATCCGACATGAGTTCCCCAGTTTTTCATCAAGCTCCACTATCTGAGGTCCCCATTCGACACCGGTGACCCAGACGTCTAGGAATTAGGGCTCTAAAAACGAGAGGCCATCAGCCACGCCCCAGGCCCTCAGCACCACCCTCACTAGATAGGATTTTGATCTTGACGAGGCAGGGGTGTCCCTCTGCCAATCCAAACTGCTGCAATGTCTACGTTGTTCCGGCCGTTCAAGAGAGAAAGGCCCACTGGTTGGGGCTCGTTGTCGAAGTTGCGCCCACCTACAAAGTACAAGACAGGGTTATATTTACTACAGCCCATTCAAACCCAATACAGGCTGGTTGAAAATTTGAACGTTACTTGGTTGTTACTAGACAGCCATGGAAAGTACTTGCTCGGAATCTCGTTTACCTGTTCCTGTAAAGCAGCTTGAGGGAAGGACGGTGCGAAAATACAGATTTCGATGTCGAGTGAAACGGTGCGAAGCTTGGGGAAACCACGCGAGAGTACAGCATCCAATCCCCCCCATTCACTTCCGGTTTTACACTGACAGTCGGTTTGAACGACGACGTTCAAGAATATTTCTTCAATCACGTTGCGCCCCGAAATGATGCTAAATTCCTCACAGATTCCGCACAAGGGGTCTTGAATGTCATCTTCGATGTCATGCTGAAGGCGCAACGTCCTCAACGTTGACAGGGACGACGCGTTCATCGATGCGGCGAAACCTGTGTATCCCTGGGCCATTTCAGCTAAAATCGTGGGTGAGGTATGATCTATACGTAGTACGGGTACCCGAACGTACTTGTGTATTTTAAATTTTCAAGCTGCTTTGTGGCCCTGATCAATGCTTGGATTGCCACCAAATCTGGCCCTCTATCCGCCTCGACGGTCAACGTTCGAACTTTACCGAAGTCTAGCACAGGAACGCCATTGGGACGTCTGGCGTTGAGAAGGTGCATTACATATGAACCACGGTCCTGACGGAAAGCAAATGACTGAAGCGGTGGGGCGGCTTCCGGTGCAAAAATATCTTCCTCGTCGCTCACCGCCATAGTAGGTTTTGCGATGCAGGTCAAGGTGAGGTCGGCTAGATTCCTGCAAGGAAAGAATACGGTGATTGGGAAATCATAGATGTATGATATACGCAAGCGGGACAGAGAGGGCATTTGGATTAGACGCAATAAGACGTCTCGAAGGGGTTGGCGTAATACATTCCACTGTATTGTGGTAGGGTCGCCAATTCCCAGCTCGAAAGATTGAAGATGGTGAAGCCTTCCCAGTACCCAGGGCACCTCATCATCTTCAAGGTCAGGCGAACACATGCGGAATACGAAATTCCGAACCAAATCTGAAATTCCTGGGTTGTTTCTGAGAAGAATTCCGAATAATTTGATGAGGCGTGGACGGCTTCTTTGTGGGTAGGAACGAGCACTGATGTGGATGGATCGAAAGATGTATTTGCCGCACAATGGTAGAAGCAGTGAGCATGTCTGAGAGCATGCCTCCAAGGCGGCAATATCGTCCCGAAGAGCGTTGATTACCTCTGCGATAACTTCCAGAGGTGAGTCGGAGAAAGACGCCATTGACTGTTGTGGTGGGAAAGAAAATCGTCACGGTTGGTTGAGCAAAGATGTCGGCAGATCTTCCCACGACGGACTTCAAATGACTTGCCTACTTTTGGTTCACCGTGACTTTCGGTAGAAGATCTGAGTAAGTAGCGTTTCTACGACTCATGCGCATGAGGCCTGACGTTGGAATTCGAAGTCAGTGATAAGGCAGAACGCTTGTTCCAACTTCTGGCGGTTTACTCAGCCAACTTGAACCGGGGGGTTTAAGCACCGGAGCCTGGAGGCGAAACGTCCCCGTTTTGAGCAGCTGAAGTTCCATTTCGAGATGCAATGAATTTCTGGGTTTTGGCGGAGTGTCTGACTGTTCAGTAGTGAGGAGACAACGAGGTGCGACACTCGGAACGGTTGACTTTCTGCCGAACGTCGCAACTTGAATTTGTTCGTCTATAGCTACACTCCAAGATGCACGACACCAGACTTCTCTCTTCATACAGTAATCTTAATCTTTATCGCTTCACATGATCAATGCCTTATAACTAACCGTTGACATCACCTATCCATCATGCCCCCACTCCCTCCCTTCATCCCCCCATACCTCAACCTCGCGTTCTCCAAAGACCACATATCCTCCCTCCCACAACTAATCACATTCGCAGCCGAGCACAATCCCCACCATACATTCGCTCTCCAACTCTGCACCTCGGACTCATCTCGATGCGAACTTTCCTTTGTGCAGCTTAGGGGGATGGTAGAACGTGCGTCGGCGTGGCTCGTCTCATCAGGTACGACCACAGGTAGGAGGAGGAGGGATGAGAAAGTAGGATGTGTAGCGATACTTTTGGCCAGTGATGTGGGGTTGTTCGTGTATTTGAGTGCGTTGTTGAGGATTGGTGTACCGGTGGGCTTTTTTTCCTTCCCTTCGTGCTGATCGGTTTACTAAATACGCTAAAAATAGGCCCTCCTCCTCTCCGCCCGCCTCAGTCCCACATCAATCGCACACCTAATCAAAGAAACATCCCCTACTTCTATCCTCATATCCTCCCAAACATCCCTCGTCGCCCGTAAAGCACTTTCTCTTCTTCCTTCAAGTTACCACTTTCCCCCACCCCGACTCGTCACTGCTCACCTTTACTCTACTTTCCTCCTACCAGGTTCCCCCACACCCGACTCCCCTCGATCGCCGGCTCCACCTTCATATGAAGACCACCTCCCCACAGATCTCGACGCACTAATACTCCATTCATCAGGGACCACCGGGCTACCAAAGGCGATATACCACTCCCACGCGTTCTTGCTCCTCTTCGCATCTGCGCATCGTTTTGAGGAGAAGATGGGGGAGGGGTATAGCGTTGTTACGTCGCCTTTGTACCATGTTCGTCGGCTTTTTCTTCAAAATATCAAGCTTGACGAAGCTAACATATGAAAATCAAAATAATAGGGTTTCGGACTCCTCGCACCCCTCCTATCCCTATCCATAAACCTCCCATTTGTCCTTCCCCCCTCTGGCGTCATACCCACCGCCCTTTCAACCCTCCATACCATCCATTCAACCAACGCCCGCTATTTGTTCACGGTACCATGTATTATTGAAGATATCCTCTGCCTCCCCGATGACGTGGGGTTGGAGGCGATGAAAAAATTGGACATCGTCGTCGTTGGCGGCGCGCCTTTAAAAGACATCTTTGGGGGACGGATGGCTGAGGGGGGTGTTAATGTTTTGAATCATTGGGGTGGGTGATTTTAGTTGTCGTTCGCGCCTCCCACTAAATCGTGATTTTTTTCTTTTGAAGGTGCTTCTGAGACAGGGCCCATCACGCCTATCGAAACTGTCAAGCCTGGATATCATGATTGGCGGTATTTGAGTCCGAGGACGGATATGGGGTTTAAGTTCATTCCCGAGGGTCATAACCCCAGTAATGGGGAGGATAATGGGGAGGACGAGAACGAGAATGGAGAAGATGAACAAAGGAGGACGTATACGCTCGTCTTTCGGCCCCCGGGGTGGAAGGAGGATTTCGTTCTCAAGGACCTACTTTGGGCTGCACCTGAAGTCGCGCACAATAATCCCGACCTCAATCCCGTTCCTCAGCCTCCCTCCACCTCTCTTACTAATTTAACCAAACCCAAACAGTACCAAATCCTCACCCGCACAGATACCCTGATCGTCCTTTCAAACGGGGAAAAATTCAACCCCGAGTTTGCAGAACGATTGATTGGTGAACATCCGGACGTTAGGGGGGTGTTGGCGTTTGGCCAAGGGGAGGTGGCTGTTGGCGTTGTCATTGAGCTCCGCAGTGGGCGGGGCGGGGTGGTTGGCAGTGGAATTTTCCCTCACCAACCTCAGCTTGATGTGAAAGGTGAAGCTGAAGTTGGAGCCGGGGAATCGGAGCAGGGAATATTCACCTACATCGACCGCGCGAACCTCCTCCTTGACGCACATGCCCAAATATCCTCCGAGCTCGTTGTATGCACTTTCGGGGAGTGCAAGCCGCTCGTGAGGACGGATAAAGGGAGCGTAGCCAGGAAGGCAAATTATGCTCTGTTTGAGCGGGAGATTCGAGGGGCTTATGAACGTATGGGGAGCCTGGGTTCCGTTGCTGGTCCCAATACGGCGCACGAATTCCCTATGTCCAGCTCTGCGCTGTGTGAGCGTCTGCACCAGATCGTGGAAGACATCACTGGCATTTCCCTTCCCCAAAATGACTCTGACATGTTCGAAGCGGGTCTGGACAGTTTACAAGCTTCCCGCGTCCAACGTGCCATTCTTGACCAGTTGAGGAACTCAAGAGCAGCAAGTTTCGGTGAGCCTCAGCTGGAGAAAGACTTTTGTTTTGCCTATCCGTCAGTGGATAAGATGACAGCGGCTTTATTATCTCTGTTTCGGATGGCTAGGGAAGAAGTGGTGGATGATGAAGAGGGGAGGATAAGAGGGATGAAAGAGATGGTTGGGCGATATCGGGAGGTACTCGGCAGCTATGCCTCTTTGCTTCCAACGAGCGAGAACGGGGCCGGTGCAGGTGCAGCATCGCCACCACCACCACCACCTCAAGATTCCCACTCCTCCGTTGTTTTACTAACTGGATCGACAGGAAGCCTGGGATGTTTCCTCCTTGCTCGGTTGGCCAAAGATCCTGGGGTGTCCAAGGTCATTTGTCTGAATAGGGCGTGTTCTCCTGGGTTGAGTCTCCATCAACGCCAAACGGAGGCACTGGAGAGGCGCGGAGCGTGTGTTAGCCGAGAGGACTGGGCAAAGGTCGTTCTCCTTGAGGCCGATTTGACGAAAGTGGATTTCGAGCTTGGTGAGGGGGAGTTGGGTGAGGTGCGTTCTTTTTTCTTTCCTTTTGTAAGGTTAATTAAGAACAGTGCACAGTTGAAGAGCGTGACGCACATCATACATAATGCCTGGCCCGTGAACTTCAACCTCCACCTCTCCTCCTTCGAGCCGCACGTAAAGGGATTGTGTCACCTCATACGACTGGCCCTTTTGAACGCCGGAACGATAAGGATAATGTTCACTTCTTCCATTGCAGTTGCAAGCCGCTATTCTCTTCCTTCTTCATCCACTTTCCCTTCTTCCTCCTCATCCTCGGAGATACCCGCCGTCCAAGTACCAGAAATCCCACTAGACGCAACGCACCCCGCGCCATTCGGCTACGCACAAGCCAAATGGGTCTGCGAGCAACTACTTGAGAGCGTGAATCAGCTCTTTGGGTCGAGAGTACGCGCTTCCGCCGTACGTCTTGGACAAATAACAGGCACGATGGATAAAGGAGCGTGGAATGAATGGGAGCATGTCCCGTTGATGGTGAGGACTATGCAGAGCTTGGGGGTTGTGCCTGATTTTCGGGGGGTGAGTCTTTCCTTACTCGTTTTTATGTCCCATTTGATGGGATGTTTTCGTGTGATAGACAGCCTCATGGCTCCCCGTCGACCGTGCAAGCGAAATCCTCATCGACCTCTTGTTCTCGCCATCCTTCAAACCAATCTATCACCTTGAGAACCCAATACGACGCCCCTGGCCCCACATAACCCATACCCTCGCCTCTCTCCTCAGCGGTACCGCCACTCCCCTCCCCCTGTTACCATTCCAACAATGGATAGCCTGCGTTCGGGATAGCGAGGAAGTCCTGACATCTACCCCGATCATGAGGTTCCTGGAAGAGGAATTTGGGAGGTTGGGGGTTGGGTTGGTTGGGTTTTGCATGGATGGGACGGGGAGGGATTCGGCGGCGTTTAGGGAGTTGGTTGGAGGGAATGAGGAGGAGTCGGCGAGGGCGAGTGTGGCGTATTGGAGGCGGGTGGGTGTGATGGTTTAACGTTTAGTTTTCGTCTAAGTGTAGCGTATCCAGACTTAGATATGTTTAGGTGTGTTGATACCTGGTAATCTTTCGTTCTACTTGGCGTCATTGACGATATGAGTTATAGTGTGATCTCGCCAAGTTCACGCATGCGTATAGATAAGAATACCACATGATCAATAATCTATTCTTGCTTTTGTTGTTGGTCGCTTCGGATCATCTCATTGCAAAATATATAATGAAACATAAAAAACAATCTTTTCGACGAGTCTCGAGGGATTCGAGTACGGGGAATCGAACCCCGAGCTACCGCGTGAAAGGCGGTAATGTTAGCCGTTACACCATACTCGAACTTACCATACTTCACGAATACATGTATTTTATGCACCTAAGGATCGACTGCAACTTCGCGCCAGCCCCGTTGAGTCGTTCCCTCTATTTGGATTAGTTATACTTATGCATTCGTGCGAGAGCCTTTCTGAATGGCCTCAAATTCCGACGTCACATGTCACATGCGTGATTCTCCTAGGCATCGGGTCATCGGCCCTTAGAAAATATCACGTGGCACTCCATTTTCAACCTTCTGTTATGCGTTTGGTTGGCGCTTGGTAGGCGCTTTCAGCTTGACTGACCGGAGAGCTCACCGACAACTCTACGCACGTATTTTTGGGTGTATGATTTAAATCTCCAAACTATTACTATTGACCTCTATCAGATCCATGTTGCGGGATTGGCTCATTTGCGGAACTCCACCCGCTCAATACAAATATGGTTCCGTGGGCCAAGTTCTAGCCCCGTCTTCAAGGTCTAGAATAATGGACATTTTATCCTACAGACCTTCTTTTTCAATCCTTGCATCCCACCTATCGCGATGGAACGACCTACTTCCATGAATGACCTTCCTCCTGAGCTTTTGGGAGAGATTTTCTATCAGTGCACTACACACAGCCCCGACGCCCCTCTCCTTCTCTCACGAGTATCACGTAATTTTCACCAGGTTGTCTACTCCACTCCAGGGATTTGGTACCATCTTCACCTTCCCATCACCGAAACAACGGGCGTCGCATGTGACCGAAAAGTGGAATTGTGGTTTTCGGTGGGAGGGCTGTGCATGGTAGATATTACTCTGGATGTGCGCAGAGTGTCGTTTGACGATGGACGAGCGCAATCTACATCCCCTTCGAAAGAGTTGCTGGCGGCGGAACTTTCAGTTTCTGGTGTCCTCCGTCGGCGCGTTGATCGACTAAGGTCATTGAAGCTCCAAGCATCCTCTGAAATGGATGCCCAATCGTTTCTCGACGCGATCTTTACCCTGCCCCTTGATACAGACGCGGTAGTCGCTCTCACCTCTCTCACCTTACAAATTTCTCCAGACGCACGGTTGGCCCCCATTGTCAACCGAGGTTCATCCTTGCCGGCGCAACCACATTTCCCATTTCTACCCAAACTCACGGACCTCATCCTCATCAACCATGGCATCGCCCCTCTAGCAACAACACACTTAATTAACCTCCAGACACTGTCCATTACCCTCCCCATCCGTTTCCCCTCACTCCCTCTCCACATTATCCTCCATATTTTACGTTCCACCACGTCCCTAGTACAGTTTAACCTCGAAGCTCGGGTGGTCGACGCTCCACCACCTCATAGCGATCACGCGACCGGCGATGTCGAACACAATAACACTCTCATCTACCTCCCCCACCTTACCGGACTTTCTCTTCGCACAAACTCCGTTTCATATATACTTCCTCACCTCCTTCTTCCCAACCTTACGTCCCTCCGTATCGACGACCTCGACGGAAGGCGTATCGGAAGCGCTGAATCAGTTGAAAACCTGCTCCGTAAACTTTTAGTCAGGATGGACCTTCCCTGTCCGGACCGTGTGGGTAGCGGTGGTCTGAAGACGCTGGAACTCGTAAACGTACCTATTCTTCGCGGAGCTGGTGAGACGGAAGGAGTGTGGGATTGGTGTTTTCGACGCATGAAGTCCCTCGTTGGCCTTACGGTCAGCAACATCGACGCTTCACCGGTGCTGGATATCCTTGCGTCCCGCAACGAAGAAGGAGAGGCTATTTGTCCCCAGCTGGCGAACTTGAGCATCACGTCGTCAACCCCTCCCCTGGAAATCGAGATGTTCCGGACTCAGCGGCCAGATATCGACCTGAAGTTTCACGTTATTGCGGATCCGTTTGGGGGCGGAGATTTTGATTTTATTTCCCACTACGAAAACCCCACCCCCGCTGGCGCGCCTTCTTCGCCTCCATCGGCCCTCCCGTTTCGCGGCTCATTCCCCTACATTTCGGTACATTCTCGTCTTGACAAGGAGATAACTGAACAGGCGGGTTGCGCAAGGTAGTAATTTTTACTACGAGGTATTTATATTCTGGAAGAAGCTCGGAACTCATCTTCATTTGACTTGGATAATATCTACGCAGAATGGAAAGGGTATGTTTGGTGTTTTGTGCAGGCTCCGTTTGATCTACTTTGCTTCATTTTGTGTTTTGGCCCAGGCCTTCATCTCCGCCATACGGTTCCATATTTCTAGAGCAAGTTGATCATTGTCGTCCTCCTCTTCGAGAGACATCTCTTTGTCCGAGTCGAGTAGTTCTGTGAGGGAATGGATGAGCTGTATCACATCGTTGTGGAAGTAGGAAACTGACCTTGAGATATCGGTCTACCCGACTGGATGATTCGGATGGGGGGGACAACGGTATAATTCTCCCCATGGTACCCATACCTAAGCGAGGATTGATCCTCAGGTTGATTACACTCCGCCCAAACCTTCCAGAACCATTCCTTGCCATGGAAACAACGAGCTATAGCCTCGGCAATGGCATCCAGGTCCTTTTGGAACATATGTGCGTTGTTTGAGGAGGGATGAGTCTTGGTTTGTTGGAGCCAAAACACTTGCACTTGTTGCACGAGGAACTTGAGGTAGACTGTTGATATTTCATTCCGTTGACCAGACAAGGATGTTAATTGATACGATGTATCCAGGTGTCGCAAGATTTGGTGGGCAAGCGCGCGGCAGTGGATGAATGACATGCGGTGCTTGACTGAATAGTTGACCACATCTCCTTGGTACCGTGGAGAGTATAGAACGGCTCCCATCTCGGCGATGATGCAGATGTGAAAGACATCAAGGATGCCGTCGAACGTTTCAATATCAGGTAAATGGTCCACGAGATCTTTTTTGGGCGGTAAGAGCTGGACGTATTGGCTTTTTTGAAAAGGACTTACGCTCTTCTTCATCTTTGATGACCCAATTTGCATGAAACATGGTAACTATGTACCGGATCATGTCAAGAGAGGATGTGGTTTGCTCTGAAAGCGTGTCAAAAGTACTGAGTATTCCGAGGGCCGTCGTTCGCAAGGTGGAGCGGCTCATAAAATGTCCGCCCCTGATGACGCATGCGGTTGACGAGACAGAATAGCAGACTGTACTGGGCCGTAAATAACTAGTCAAAAAATGAGGAGTGTCAGGTAATGTGTTTGAAGGACGTGAGAGCGATACTCACATGGTGCTTCCCGGGGCAAGGAGCGCTACATCAAATGTTTGTTGGTCAAAGGATTTGGTGCACAAGGGGAATTCATCGTCGGTATCCGATTTGGCGATGAAGAGAAATAGAAACCCTATTTCAACATAAATATAAGTTCCTAAACCACCGTCCTGATATCCTTGGATGGCGTGAGGTGTGGATATGGTAGCCCATTGGGTACCAGAGATCGGAAATGCTCGGCGATGACAAAGTGGTCGGTCAACAGTGACATAAAATGCTTGAATGTCAGTAGCAATGCGTAAATCTGGAAGTGGACCATCCATAGTTGGAGTTTTGTATATGGTGTAAATCCTCCCCGATTTTTTCAAAGTACCGTCATCGCTTTCGACTTGATCTAACAAGCCTTTGACCCTTTGATAGAATGGTGTTTTCTGCGGCTCTGAATAATCTAGTGATTTTGTTCCCGCATGTCCCAAGCTGATAAAAAGAAAGACTTACAGATAATGGGGAATGGCTTTGACTCTGAATGGAGAACGTTGATGAGGGCGGCTTTATTAAACTTGGGAGCGGTGTAAGACTTGTTGGTGATGAGGATGTGGTGTGACCGAAAATCAGATTGCAAGCGAGAGGTGTCGAGGGTCCTGAACGCCTCCTTGTCATAAAGGACGAGAGATTGGTTGGCGTTAGGAGTGGCCTTGATAACATCACTTCGTTTGTATAGGTTTTCAAACCCAGGTACTTGCGTCGGCACTCTGTTAACAAATCAGTAATGGCGAGATGAAGGCAGTTTGTGCCTACA